CTTGGGGCTACAGAATTTTACCTTCTGGCCGCCATGTCTTATGATCGCTATGTAGCCATCTGCAAACCCCTGCATTACACAACCATCATGAGCACCAGAGTGTGTATCCAGCTGGTTCTCTGTTCTTGGCTAGGTGGGTTCCTAATTATTTTATACCCAATCATCCAGACCAGTCAACTGAATTTCTGTGCCTCCAATGTGCTGAATCATTATTATTGTGACTATGGACCCCTCATAGAAGTATCTTGCTCAGACACAGGACTCCTGGAGCTAATTGACTTCATCTTAGCAGTTGTGACCTTGGATGTCACCCTAGTGCTGGTGATTCTCTCCTACACAAATATCATCAGGACCATTCTGAAGATTCCCTCTGCCCAGCAAAGGAAAAAGGCCTTTTCCACATGTTCTTCCCACATGATTGTCATCTCTCTCTCTTATGGCAGCTGCATCTTCATGTACATAAAACCTTCAGCAAAAGAAGGCATTGCCTTCAATAAGGGAGTAGCTGTGCTCAATACATCAGTGGCCCCTTTACTGAACCCCTTCATTTACACTCTAAGGAATAAACAAGTAAAACAAGCCTTCATGGATGTGGCCAGAAAGATTATGAGTCTTATATGAATTTAAAGAAAATTCTGAATGATGTTCCTGCAGTTCTTCCCCATAAAACTCAGGAGGAGCTTCCTCACCTTCCACTTGTTAAACAACATCTCAGAAGAATTTTTATGAGGAGATGTCAAAGTTAAATTTCAAACTTACCAACACAATTTGTATGTTCTGTAAGAATTCCCAGGGTTATAGTAGAGCTGACAAGGGACAAGGTTGTAGTCACTTCTTGGTCACAGCCAGCCACCCAGAGGGAACAAGTAGTTCAACCTGTGAGCTCAGGACCATAGTCACAGGCAACATCAAGCTCAATTGGCATAACAAACTGCACAAAACATTGTTCCACCTCCTACTTTGGCAGTAGCGACTGGGATCTTAAAGCTTGCAAGCTGCCATCTACATGCAACGAAGGGTGGGTCTCTCCTCATCCAGAGAAAAGAAGAATGAAGAAAACCAAAGACTCATGGAAACAATTCAAACTCATGACTGGTACACCATG